AGCAATATTGTAAAAAAGAAAGAAATATAAGTCATTCCTTCCAAATTTCGAATTTCGATTGGTTCCTTTATATACTATGCATTACGCGTTATACAAGTCTGTGCTGCGGCCATAACACGGCTCACACCGACTCCCCTTGCTTTTCACACGAATGGTTTAGTGGTACTCGGTGTGACTTTCTCGACGTTTCCCAACGATCTCACACTAGTGCACCAAGTACACAAGAATATTTCCGACTGATGTATATTAATGGCACATCAGTGAGTGTTTCCAAACGCAGTCTTACTTTAGTGATATGTATCATTTATAAAACCTAAATGATAAAACCTAAATGATACGTATATAGATGATTGTCATTTTGATATCACTACAAAAAGCATGATATCAGTACAAACTTATCTCTTTAAAAAAGGTAAAGAAGGCGCTAAGCATACGTGTTTCTCGAATAAAATCTAAATATTCAACCCAATTAAAATAGCAGTTTTTAATTTTTCTTCAAGGATATTCTTATTGAAGATCTTTTTATTCTGACCCAAATAAGAACAACTTTAATTCTTTGTCAAAAATTATTACTCTTCGAAAAAAATTAATATATTAAATGAAAAATTAAAACCTAGATATTATCTTAATCTCTCAATCTTAACCAATTAAGTTAAATTCTATCAAATTAAAAAGTAAAACACAAATGATATTGTCTCTTGTTATTTCCTTAACTCTAATGACATGTATAAAAAATTTGATATCAAAACTGGCGCCAAGTTAAATCTCATTTCTTTTTACCATGCTAAATTAAATAAATAAATATTATTCTTAATAAATGAATATTAATCTAATGATATATCATTTGATATCAACAATTGTGGCGCCAGAGTAAATTCTACTATCAAAATAAAAAACAACTATTTTTAATTTTTATACAATGAAACCTAAGTATAAGTATATCTTATTAAAAGATCTTCCTATTCCAATCCGAATGGTTTAAATTCCTGTTAAATGAAATTATTATATACAATTCATTCGAAGACATTTTTCTCTTCCAAATAAGTAGTGGTTATGCAATTTTCTTTCAAATATACAAAATATTATCATAAAATTGCGTTACCATGCTCAATTTAAGTGGTATCACAAAAAAATTAGAGTTAACCGTATGAAATGAAAAAATTTAATTTAAATAGAAAAATTTTTCATGTAAAAACATTTGGCGCTGCTAGATCTCGATATGATAACATACTATTAAGATAATTAAAATAAAAAATCAATCATTTAGAAGAATCAAAGATTTAGAAGAAAAAACATTTTAGTTATTATTATTATGTCGTTTACTCTTTTACTTCAAATATGTAGACGACATTTTACTTATTGCATCACCAGACAGTTTAATTGAAATATTAGAGATTTTTAACCCTTTTTATGAACACGCCTTTAATTCATGTTGAAGTGAGTAAAGATAACAGCCTGAATTTTTTTGAATGTGAAGCTTATTGTTGACGAGCATAGAATTATATATATATTATATTTGACACTTATAACAAACATTTTCTGAAAGATATCTGAATTTTCACTCGCAACATCCTACCTGTCATAAAAGAGGTGTAATTTTTAGTTTATTTGACAAAATTTTTCTTTTATGACACTCGAAATTCCATTATAAGAATATTATTTATATGCTACTGATATTTATATGATACAGATTTTGTTGAAAAACGGATATCCTCTTCCTTTTATATTCTCCGTAATCCAGATGAGCATTAAGTTCTATTTTTATAAGATTAAATCTACTAAAATTCGAACTAAAGTCTCTAATAAATACTTAACTGTATCTTTTGTAAGAACCATCTCTGAATCTTTTTCCAACATAGCTAGAAGTGTCAATTTAAAACCGGCATTTACGATTCTGAATAGTCTGAAAAAATACATCACAACTGGAAAAGATATTCTTGAAACAGCATTACATCATGATGTTGTTTATAAGATTTCATGCAACGATTATGATGATCATTGGCCAAATAAAAAGATAATTGAAAACAAGATGCAGAGCATTCGTCGGATATTAATAAAAAAATCAGACTCACCAAGTATCATATCTAATCACCGGATCTCACTTGATCATAACTTTGATTAGAACAAGATTAAAATTTTAGGGAATCTTACAACAAAAGATTAACTTCTGAGATGATTTTTATAAAGAGACAAAAAAAGTGGACTTAATTTACAAAGCGATACAGAATCATTACCAGAAATATACATTCCCGTTATACAAGCACTTTTCCTTTTCTGAATGTTTCCCATTATCTTTTCCTTTTCCTTCCAACTTTCACCATTCACATTTAATGATTTTTTCGTTGCTTGATATTGTACCAGTTCGAAATAAGTTGTCAAGAGAGACGGAAGTATATGGCAAATTTCATACCTTTTGAGTTCTGGTCTTAACACTACTTGTTTTATACATTATTATGCGCTGTAATTCTAATCATCTTTGTTGTAATACAGGTTAGTAATACAGGTATGAATCGTGCAACATTTTAATTTGCGTTAAATTTTCTTTAGTTTCAATTATTACTTTATGTATTACTTTACATAGCAATATTTCATCACGATTTGATGGACAATGTATCTTTAGACGTTTAATAAGAGATCCAACAACATATACCATAGTAAATTATTATTTCGACGAACATATACTTTTTATCGAGATGAATTGACATCGTGGATAGATGTAAAAGGAGAGTCTATTACTTTTTGCGGCCATATCAAGATTATCGGAATACACGTTGTTTCGTAAATATTGAGGTTTTTATATGTTAAGCGTTAGACGTTTCTAGAATTTATTATGTCATTATTTTAATATAAACGGTATTTTTAACATTGAAAATGATCTGATGTAAGGTCGAAACATTGTATTTTGTTTAGTTAAATATAATATTTTTGTAATTCACATAATAGCGAAGTACATCTTGCTTTTGCTCTAAGTCCTTTAACGAATTATTTCAATAATACTAATATATATGAATGTATTTAGAAAAATAAGAAAAATAAGAATATAATATTTAAAGAATATATAGAGAAAAATAACATATTAATAAGGAAAATTAGAATCATATTAAAAAAATATGAATAGTTAAAAAAATAAGAATCATTCCTAGTGAGAGTTCCTAAAGTATTTAGCGTGTGTATATATATATATATATGCGATTGAATTATAGATTCATGTAAATTATAAACATTGTGACTATTATTAAGTTTAAGTCTGAGAAAAATCAATTTAGATTTGTAAACATGCGTTA